GGTCAAAGTAAGAGTGTTGTAATTGAGACTCCATCCCTCACAAGACCTCCATTTTGAAGTCAAGTCACAAGCTATTCAAAGAAACTGCGACAAAAGCATTCCTTTGTCACTGTTGACACTGTCACTTGTGACTGGTCTTGTTCCTGGACTTGTGATGGTCATGACTATAACACTGCAAAACAGGTAGCCAGCTGACACCATAACTACCATTCAGGAACCCCCCCCCCTTATTTCATTCCATTCACAGTCTCCGCCTGAGGGTGGATGATTTCAGATATGAATACATCAAACTTGTGTTTATTTTCCTGAGGTGATAATTTTTCTGTTGAATCAATTCCCTCTCAAAAACAAAAATATGACAGAGATTTGAGTTTTCTTTTACAAATGTTCTCACCAAATGACAGTAGCCCCCCCCCCAAAAAAATGCATTACAACGATCAAAATGGCTGCCACCATGAGAAAAAAGGCTGGGACAGAGTCTTGAAATTAGTTTGGTTTGCATTTATTGCTTTGATAAGCACATGGTGGGCTGACAACACTTGTGAAAGTGGCGAAAACTGGAAAATATTTGACCACAGTGAACAGGAAAAAAGAACCCATTGCAGCAATTTTTCCCAGATTTTTGGTGGGGAAAAAGAAGCCATATTTCAATCACTGTTTCCCGTTTCAAACAGATCAACTAAATGAGGATTCAATTACATGTATTGATTGCACAGAAGGACAATTTTTGTCAGTTGGTCCCCCCCTCCCATTTGAGGGATTTTCTCCATTTCCACCCTCTGTAGAACTCAACTAACGAAGAAAGAGACACAAACTATGTAAAGGTAGTGTCTGGGAATATTACAGATCTCAAAATTATTTTATTAACAACTAGGTTACTCTGTTACAAGGACAGAATACAAAATTCACTTGATCCTGCAGCTCAAAAATTAGAAGTGTACCTCACAATAACAAAAATCTAACTTTGTATTTCAGAAGATATCAACAGCAGTGCAAAACAGAGAGTAGTTCGTTTTACGAAAAACCTGGGGTGAAAAATTTAAGCATGAAAAAACCTTGCTTGACAAATCAGGTTGGCAGCCCAAACATCTTTTGATGTATATTGTTTTGGAATGGTATTTTACATGTACCTGTCTTTTGGTCGGCATGACAATCGCATAAGAGTTTGAGCTGGTGGCCGTTGTTTATGAAGCAAGGTTTTTTTCGTGCTTAAGCAGATTCTGTGCTTAAGCAGCTCTGTGAAATTTGGCCCCTGTTCATAAACCAAGGATGGAAGGAATTTCAGAACGTGCTTATACATTTACAAGCGTAGAAGTTCAAAGGCTTGCAGTGTGGTCATTGATGTATGTCTGATTGCATTATTTTTTAACCCCAACTCCACAGTGTCTTTTACTAGGCACTAGACTAAATCCATCAAAATCCAACAATGCCTGCAAAATCTACAGCAAGCCTGCCACTGATGTGTGTGTCATTTGTTGATGGACCCATTACGGACCGTTAGTACTGTTGCCACTGTGAAATGCACTGAATGCGGTTGCGGTGCTTTGGACCTCAAGGTCCAAGTCTATCAAAATCCTCCAAAACTAGATTCTGATGGAGTTGGTTGGTTACAGGATTAAAGCATTAATACAACTGACCAAACATCTAGTCTAATAAACTCATTTGGACTGTTATCTATGAAGCAGAAGAAAACAGCTTCTCCTGATGACAAGCAGAGCATACTGCTCCAAACGTCGAGTACCACTGGTTCTTTTCAGAAATGCAAATACTCACAAAAGAGATACGTCCATGGTGCTACCGCAAACCTACTTTCTAATATACCTCTTCACCATGCAAACTTTCAAGACTTATCCAGAAGAAAACAGTTATTTTTTGTTAAAATCCAAAACGCCTCCAAGAAAGAGTGTGGTATGCCATCATGAATAAAGCACAATCGAGTATGGTTTAACCACTGTACAATGTTGCGCAGTCTTTGCTTTTGCAATGGACATCATAGTATGCAAATGATTCATACTAGCAGCCTCCATGAAATAAGGCCTTGAGCCATACAAATGTGTCCAGTGAGTCTGAATACATTAATCTATTACAAGATTCCATTTTTTACCTCCGTCTTTTTTATCGCTTGATTTGAAGTACATGTAGGACATGCACAGACATCACTCAAGATACAAATATTAAGGCAAATCAAGTTCAATCAATACGCAAAATAAAACGTGCTTGACCATTTAGCTCTTCCTTTCTAACAATGCTGCATCGATTCCTGTAGTACGTGCACACCAGCCCGACATTATGAACCGATGTTAGGACAAGCCGTCATTATGAACCGATGATAGGACAAGCCGTCATTATGAACCTACATTAGGACAAGCCACCCAACAGGCTCTTGATCACCGAGAGCTGCTTATAACTGATTGAATACTTCACGAGTGACAAATTGTTTTATTTATGAATGAACAAATGAACACTGACATAGTTTGAAATGCATAGATAAATTCCCTAATTCTGATAACTTGTCGCAGAAATAAAATCCTTGCTCTGTTTTCAGACTGTTAACAAAACAATGGACATTTACATAAAATCGCTCTTTTTACCTTTTCATATTTCAAGTTTACATTGCTTGTCTTGCTATTTACAAAGGCAATAGAAATATAGAAAAGTTAAAAGCTTTCCATTCAATTTAATTGACATTACATGTAATTCTGACATTACATAAGGCATTCAAGTTGTGTGTGTATACAATTAAACAAGGATGAAAAAAACAATACAAACTAAGATGACATTTGCACTACGAGGCATAAGCAAAAGCCAAGGGCTTATGGTGAAATGCCTTGAAAACAGACAAACAGACAACAAATCAAGGACTAACAAACAGACATACACTGTACTTCACATCTCCACCCAATCACTGCATTATTCCAAATAACAAGCACAGATTTAACTTAATTTATGCATGGACAGTGATGTATCCTCAATCACACTCATCAAGGAAGTAATGATTCTGTAATTACAACGGTTACCAACTGTCACCGTCAAGTTGCTAGGATACAGTGAGAAGGTTTCTCATCATTCACAGATTACATAGAAGTCAATGCCACCACCTCCCTCTTGCCTCCTCTGTACAAGATCCTCCTCAATCAATAGTCATAGAGTTTGGTGCATATAGTCCATGGCGTGCCATGCTTACAAATGATTTGCCTGGGTCTCTTTGAAAACCTCCGAGATGGTATATGACAGTGCTGCTTATTCTCAAGTCCACAAAAACTTGCCTGGACTGGGCTCAAAAGTTTGCATTCCCAAACTGGTTTCAAGCAATGCAATAAAATAATCCATCAAGTGTGCAATAAGTTCCAAGATTCACTAGATTGAGAAATTCGCATTTTGTAATGTTTCACTTAAGCAGAGAGATTTTGGGGAATGACAAAGGTGAGGTTCCTCGTTTGGCACCCCCCCCCCAGTTTTAGAGACTCAGAAATGTTGAATTTAAGTTTATAAAGATTAATCCATTGCTCAGAGCAGGTGCAGTCTGAGGTTGCTGGATAATTGGAACTCACTCTCTCAGGAAAGAACAAAAAGGGACAGAAAAGCACTGAGACACAAAGGATCCCCTCACAGCTGGTAGAGGACTGGAACTCACTCCCTCAGAGAAAACAAAAAGCGACAGAAACACACTGAAACGTGAAAGATCTCCTCACAGCCGGTAAACTCGCTCCCTCGGGGAAAACACAAAGCAAGAGAAACACACGGAGACACGAAAGCTCCCCTGACCACTGGTAGATGACTGGAACTCACTTCCCAAAGACACATGGAGTGGCAGTAATACACAGAGGCACAGTCAAGACAAGGTGTTGCTGACAAGTCCGCTGGCTGATACAGCACTCATGAAAGATCCCGCAATTTGAAGAATTTTGCCAAATAGCCCATCACAGCCACACCTGCAGGTGTACGCTGCACTTCAAACTCTCACCTGTCAATGCAATTACATCAACCTCTACGCGAGACAGAAATTCTAGAATGTCTGAATGCTTTCAAAGTTTAATGAAATGTATTGATCTGCAAAGTACTTGATTCTGATTGATTGTAAACAGGTCAAAAGTACAGCAGGTTTGGAACCAAAATGACCACATCAGTGTGATCTTCTCAAGAAACGTTACTGTACTTACGTCACACACTTTTTGCTTCAAGTTTATTGTAGTGTTAACTCACAAAGTATTCAAACCATATTGGAAGTCACGGTGTCAAAGATAATTTCTTTTACACTTTCATGAAGGTAATTTGTTTAAACTGCTTTAACCAGTCATTCAGCAAAGCATTTTAACCACTGGTAAGAGGAAGAAGTGTCATGATCTGGAATTCACAAGGAATCCACAGTGAAATTAAAGAAATGACACCAAGGCAAAACCCATCAAAAGTGCCTACAACGTCAACATTACTGGGTACCTTTGAACATTCAGTGATCCTCAGCAAAGTCAGTGATCAAAAAAGGTGATTCAAACAATTTGGAAGTACTCATCAATGACAGACGTTAACATTGGTTTCTGCCTTGAATGTTTCAATGTGCGTTTTTTTCTTCCTCTGTCAACGTACCGCCACTTAGGTCCAGATCCTCCACGGCCTTGAGCTTTTTTATNTGTACATGTGGGTACTTGTCATTGTGTGACCACTTGCATGAAATTCTGCAATAATTCATGGCCAGTATACAGCGCAATTTGGATTGTCAAGATGTAATATTTCTTGTGTATTCGAAAACAGCATTACTTCTTATAAGTTCAATTGTTTTCCTTTCCTCGGCTGTTTCAAACATAAAGAGAAAATGGGCTAATTGACGTTAATGTTGGTCTCTGCCAATAATTCATTGAAATGCCTTTTCTCTTCCTCTGTCACCTCAAGGTCCCCGAGCTTCAGATACTTGAGGGCCTTGAACTTCTTTAACTCTGCACAAAACAATGCTGCTTTACTAGCCACGTCATTCTCAAAAAGATTCAATCCAACCAAGTTGGGTAGACCCCTGAGTGACTCAACAACATGTACCACGTCCTGTCCATTCAATGAGCAGACACTCAAGTCCAGGTGCTGCAGTGCCTTGCACTGCCCCAGCTGCTTGCACAATGATTCTGCTGTACCACCCAGGTCAGTGCCAGAAAGATTCAATCTAACCAAGTTGGGTAGACCCCTGAGTAACTCAACAACATGTACCATGTCCTGTCCATTCAATGAGCAGTCACTCAAGTCCAGGTCCTCCAGTGCCTTGCACTGCCCCAACTGCTTGCACCATAATGCTGCTGTACCACCAAGGATATTAAAAGAAAGGTCCAATGTAGCCAAGTTGGGTAGACCCCTGAGTGACTCAACAACATGTACCATGTCCTGTCCATTCAATTTGCAGCCATTCAAGTCCAGGTCCTGCAGTTCCTTGCACTGCCCCAGCTGCTTGCACCATAATGCTGCTGTACCACCCAGGTCACTCCCAGAAAAATTCAATGCAAACAAGTTTGGTAAACCACAGAGTGACTCAGCAACATGTACCATGTCCTGTCCATTCAATTTGCAGACACTCAAATCCAGGTCCTGCAGTGCCTTGCGCTGCCCCAACTGCTTGCACCATAATGCTGCTGTACCACCCAGGTTACTGCAAGAAAGACTCAAAATAGCCAAGTTGGGTAGACCCCTGAGTAACTCAGCAACATGTACCATGTCCTGTCCATTCAATTTGCAGCCACTCAAGTCCAGGTCCTGCAGTGCCTTGCACTGCCCCAGCTGCTTGCACAATGATTCTGCTGTACCACCCAGGTCACTCCCAGAAAAATTCAATGTAAACAAGTCTGGTAAACCACTGAGTGACTCAGCAACATGTACCACGTCCTGTTCATTCAATGAGCAGCCACTCAAGTTCAGGTGCTGCAGTGCCTTGCACTGCCCCAACTGCTTGCACCACAATGCTGCTGTACCACCCAGGTCATTCCAAGAAGTAGACAATGCACGCAAGTTGGGTAGACCCCCGAGTAACTCAGCAACATGTACCATGTCC